AAAAGCTATTATCTCATGCTTTTGTCTACGATCAACCAAAATTTTTGTTTGAGACTTGCATTATCATATCTCAGGAAACAGTGTATTACCCTTTCCTATCAAAAAGGAGACTGTGTATTCCAGCAATCACTCACAAACTTCAAAAGGAAAAAAAAAGTAGTATACTCTCAACGCAATCAGATTCATGCCTTCTTGAAAGACAGTGAGATCTTAATTCAAGTTCATTTTTTGACAGGATTAAATTTAAGCTTTACCTTCCAGAATTAATTTCACAAAATCAGTGTGGAAAGAGATCTTTCTCAGTAATAGTTCCAAGATCCACAGACATATGTAGGATAATAATCAACCGAGAATGGTAAAGAGATTGAATTCTCTTTCTAGCAATTACATAGGTATGTGGAAAAACCTGAAACAAAGAATTGTTTCAAACCAAATACAGGTGAAAAAAGTCAACTGAGTTGATCTAAGATAAAAGGCAAGATTTCTTTTTTTTAAAGCATCCAGTGTAGAATCGGACGACATAGGCCAGTATTTGCAGTTCATTGCCAATGTTCTACAAAACCTCAAACTGAAAACAATGCAACTCTTTGAACATCAGAAAACACGTTGTTCCTCATGAAGACACATCTTTAAGTATGAAAATGGAAAGATCTGAGTGCTTTTTTTTTTTTTTTTTTTTTTTTATTTAATACAGTAAAAGTGTGAGAAGGAATTTACTTTCATCTCTCCAGAAAACAAGTGACCAAAGAACCTTCACCTCCTTCTGTAAATCTAGTAGACGGAGCAGGCTGCTTTGAATTTCCATTTATATCTCAATAATAATTAAAGAAAAAGCAAAATAATATATTGAAAGAATTACATGTTACAAGAGATGTGGCTTTTTTATTGTCAGTGCTTGAATAATGCTGCCCTGGGATTGCCATGATTGATTCATCACCTTTCCCTGAATTTATACTTTTCTATACTCTTATCCAGGATATGAAGTGTGGCACAAGAAGACATCATAGCATGAAGGACAGATGTGAATGGAAACCTTTTATGAAAAAGTCAGACATAGCTGTTTTAATATTTCACAAAAATTGTGTACCCAATCTCTACATAAGATTGAGCTGTATAAAACTTTGTTGCTTTTTTTTTTTTGATTGTTTAAACAGAGAGAAAACTAATGGTACTGTAGGTAAAATAGCCAAGACCACTTACAGAGAAAAACTTTAAACCTGTAATACTTTTTGCAAAGCTATTCTGTTGCGGAGCTCATAAGCATGCCTTTCAAAATACTAACTGAAAATAGTATAAATTATGAAGAGTGTCATTCTGAGTGTCTCTAACTACCAAGTAAGGCAAAGAAAGAAGCAGTATTTCTTTTCAGAAAGAAGCAGTATTATTCCTTGTAGAAATAAGGAACAAAGGAGTTATAAATAACTATCTCTAATGAAGAAGAGCCAATAGTAGTTTGCATTTTGCATTGTACTTTTGATGTTGACACTGATGGTATGTTTATTGTTCTGCTGTCACATAGCATGACAAGAAATTTTTGCTCATGCAATTATAACACTGTTTTTTTCAGGCTGTGCCACAGTTTAAATATAAACTATAATGGTCGTAAGTTTTCTCCTGGCAGAAAGTTATGTTTAAACATAACCGATCTTATCTCGATTGTCTAGTAAAACAAATGAATCGAATGAGCAAAACACTGCTTTTCACAGTTGGTAGAATATTGTGCTCATCAGCTAGAAACAAGGCAGACCTCAATAATACATTATCAGTGCTCTGCCATGGACTGACTGCAGTCTTCCATTCTACAGCAGACAGCTCTTTTGAATCCAATGTTTGAAGGTCAAGGAGTCTCTTCTGCTTCCACTTAAACCTTTGAGGAAACTGTTGATGAAATAAAATTAATAGTACAAAAGCCTAAATGTTTTCTATCTCTGAGTAGCACTCTTGAAATCACAGAAATGTTTCTAAGTTAGAGGAGTAGATTTGTCCTTCTGAGTGAAATGTCATATTTTTTAATAAGTGCAACAATGCTGTCTAGAGAGAGTTAATGCATGGATAATGCTTTCTCTCATCTGTCTCATCACAGCTATTGCAATAAACTTAAATATCAATCATTACAGAAATAATTGATGTAGTCCACAAAAATTCAGACAAAGGCCATCTGGGTGGAAAGACTGGAGATCTGCAGGTGTTCAGACAGAAAAAATAAGAATCCACAACGTAGACTGCAAGCCTTTTACTTTCAGGAGATGAAAATAAACAGACATGGCCAAAGTGCTTATTTTCTTCTTAGGGGGTGCAATTTAGACTGATGAGTGTAGGACTCCACAGACAAAATAACTTTGCAGAGGATAAAAGAGATTCAGGCACTATTTCCACTCCACTGAAGATTAGGCTGAAAAGGATGTAGCTTTTTTCTCCTTTTATATACAGACATTCTGTAGTAGCATTCTGACTAGAGGTACACTTCAAAGTATTGTATAGTTGGATTTTAGCATAAAGGTTGGGTGACAGTTCTTATACTGAATCCAAGGCTCCTTGAGTTTTATGATATATTAAAATCTCCACATTCTCCGTTTTAAGTTGCAGTCATTTATTGCTTAAGAATTCCAGATGTGGCTTTAAAGCACTGTTTCCTAGCTTTTGCGGCAGTTGCCTTCCCCCATCAGCTTCAAAATTATATCAAGATGAATTTTTTAGGGCAAAAAGTTCTGGAAATGTTGAAGGTACAACACTAGTCCATGCACATATACACCCTCCCATAATGAAAAAAAGTGATTTTAATAAAAGACTAAATAATGAAAATGGATACAGGTAAAAAATTTCCAATATCAGAAGAGCAGACAGAGATCTTGCAGGAGACGCAAAGAAAACTCTTCAATGGACACTTCAAAAGCCTGCTAAAAATCTAGCACTATATTCATAGTCGAAAAGCTTTTCATGAAAGGAGAAAGCAAATAAAAATGAGGCCCTGTTACTCCAGCCCTCAGGCTTTCAAGGTAAAATGGTACAACTGAGCAGAAACCTTAGCACTAACTTCCTTTAAATCACATGTTTAGCCAACACCTGCTTTGCTGCTGGCAGGAACTCCCATATCCAACAAAATGGACATAGAAAACTTTAAAGTTACCCTTGGCAACCTATCTTATATTATTAAAACTAAACGTGAAGAAAATTGAACTAACATAACTCTCCTTCACAGCAACTGAAGTAGGAGTTTTGCAACATAAATTTCCAAGATCAATTAATAAACCAAAAACAAAACATTAATTCTGAGCTCCAGTTGTATTAATTGTAACATTCATTTAATTCAGCCAATTCATCCAGCCTATTAAGTCCGTATTAATTTGCGGGTGGTGCTGAAGGATTCTGTGTCAGGTTTCAAGAATAGAACACCATTCCTACACATTCCTTATTACTGTTCAGTCACCACAGTAAATCATGTTCCTGTAAAAGAATAAACACACAACCCTGCATAGAAACTGCATTTTCATTAACTATCTCATTTTTTTTTTCTTGTGAAATCTCCAACTTCAAGAACAGCAATGGTTTTTCCTTTCCCTGCCTTTAGAGTTAGTGCCGTAGATGTAGTAAACTCACCTTCGACTCATAGAGAAACTAATTTATAACAGAGATGAGAGCTTCTTTCTGCGTTCCTACGATTCGTAGCAGAAAAACTTACAAGTTCATAACCAGAGATGACAAGACATACAGTGTGTGTAAATGCAGAAAGAGACACACGTAACTGTCTTCAAAGCTGTCAGCTTATACTGGGAAAGGGAATACACTGCTATGTTATACCGATTAGCACTTTTAATCCAACAAGAAGGGAAGAGCATCTAGACTACTGTTAGAATTTTGTCAGGATTACTGAAGTAGTTTTTATCCCTTCTGTAGCACAGAAAGTTTAAACCTCTGCGTGACCCACATGTGAAACTTTTTGAAATTAAGGATACACGAAATATAGAGGATGTCCAAACTCAAGCCACATATAGTACTGCCTGTGTTGCTCATACTAGCCCTGTTCTGTTTCCACCACCAGTCCAAGATATCCACTCACTTCCTCCCACTCCTGACTTCTACTTAATTATTCCAGGTGCAGAAGCCTGGTATCTCCAAACTGTGTCTAGAAAAAAACTGTGACCAGATCTACATTTTCCATTCTGTATGTCTAATGTATTACTAAGTCATTAGTGTTTAAAATCCCTATGGAAATAAACCAGATAAAACCTAAACCCCTCAGTATATAGCCAGTATTTTTTTATTGAGACTCTCAGATTCTTAATTGAAAAGTCACCCTGAATGAGTATTTATACTAGTCAAACACAGGCATAAAGTGTCTCACATAGGAAAACAGAAGAGAACAGTCATCTTGGGACTATACAGACAGCACTGGATAACAGACAAATTACTCTTCACAAGAGCAGCAGGTAAAGAACCATTTGGGAGATAGTAGGCAAGGGGAACATTTTTTTTAATCACTTCTAGGGTAGCCTTTTCCTGTGAAGTACTACTTTCATACACAAGAGAGTAAGAAAAGAGGAAAAATTAGAATTCTACAGTGAAAACGCACATGATATGGAAAAAAGTTGTACAGAGCAAGTCCTACCCACAAAGTGATTAGATGTTCTTCTTCTTAATCGTGAATTCCTTAGGAATGCCATGGCTGTTACCTTCAAGTTAGAATAAACATGAAGGCTTCATTAACACAAAGCACTGTAAGGAATGCTTTCCAGAAGCCCTGTAAAAACAGAGCCTCAGCACTGTGCCAGTTGAGTATGAATACTGGATCTGCTTGTTATCTCTGTATTTAGTTGCTTATTCCTGCTTCTAAATTAATTTTAAAGGATGATTCAAATTCATGCTCACCATTCAAGTTATTTTCCAGACTTCATATAGTTTAAGTAGCACTTGTAAAATATCTACTTCTGTACTTTTCAACCTGTGCTTGCCATTCTGCTAAAATAAACTATGATGGAAGTTATTTTTAATAAGAATCATACCTGACAGCAAAAAGTCCAAACTCTAACTTTCAACAGCAAATCCCTTTTTAGCAGCTCATAACTTTTGTTCATCTTTGTAGCTAAGCATGAAGTATTGCACAAACACCTGCACAGAGAGGAAGTAACTTTTTCTTCTGGACTGTGCACAACCTATATATTGATGTGATCTAAAAAAAAAAAAAATAAAAAAAATTAAAGACAAGTTTGAAGAAAGCGTGTTTATAGTGATTCTAAAACAGTAAGCCTTATGCTACCAAAATACAGTCTCAATAATCATTGTGGTTTGCTGATAAACATGCCTCATCTTTTCCCAACTTTGTCTTATTTTCTTGCATCTTACAGAAGCATAAATCCCCCTAAAAGTTACTATTTATATATTTTCAAGGAGACAGAAGAAAAGAGAAGGAAGACACTCCCCAAAGTATTTGTTTTAAAATTACTTTGAACAAGTAAATGAAGACTGCAATTAGTATTCATCCCACTCATTACACAGCTCCCTTCACTACAACCTCCCACAATACCCCCCCAAAATTCTGTATGAACATACGCTTCATTCAGGTTCAGTAGCAGGCCAGTTTCAATGTTCTAAAAACAATTTTTTACTCTTTCCTCCTACGTACACCTTCTGCTAAAGAAGAGAGAGTTTCTGTGAGAAGGATATGAGAAGTTCCTAGTCAATAGCTAAGAACAGTTTGACTGTTCCTCTGATTACCTACAAACACTGGAAAAGATGCCAATGGATCAGTACTACTGTATGCTTACTGTTGAGCGTAACAGGAACAAAGATCAATAAGTGAAATCAAATGATCCCTACTGACAGTCATTGCATCAGTACACATTAAAAAAAATATCTTAGTTTATTAAGAGAAAATTAAGTATTTTCTTTTATTCACTACTTGGTCATTTTTACAGGTCCACGGCAGAAGAAAAACTACCGGACAGAGCTCCAAGAATTCTAAAACTAAACAAAGAAAGCAAAAGAAGTTAATTATGCTGCATAAAGAACTCTACTTATTGATTACACATACTGAAAAGTTAATTTTAAATGCTTCTGGAGATGCTGATGAGAATAAGATAGAGTACACTTTTAAGGTAGTTTAAAACTTAATTACTTTTTTCACTTATAGAGCATCTATCCATAGTTAAGAGTCTAATTATTACATTTTCTCCTACAAACTACTAAAACCAGAAAATATTCAGCAGTTTAAATAATATGAAAAAAGCTGCATCTATTTAACAGCTGCAGAACTCAGAGGACAGAGGCAGTAAAATAATATAAAAAAAACAGAGTTAAAAATCCCACTGTAAGAATATTAACTGTAATAAAAGAAAAGACATTAAAAACAGCAGCTAGTTAGGTGCCAGGATATAATAGAACCCATAAGGACAGGCAAAGAATGATGCTAAGTTAGAGAGAAAGAGTCTGTTTTCAGAGAAGAACTTCCTGACAGATACCACAACAAAGCGACATGAACGGTGACTGTGTGGTCCCCTTCTCGTAAATAAATCAGGCGTCAAAGGTTGATCTGCAGTTAATAAGAGGCCTAAGCCTTCTCCAAGGATTTGTAGTATTCTGTCAGCACAGTCCAAGCCTTAGGAGCCATGAAGCCTTCCGGTGGGTTTTGTCCTTCTCGAGCCAGCTTGCGCATGCGGGTCCCCGAAATAAATTCGAAGTCTTCATGGCTGAGAGATGGGAGTGGGATAAAGGGGAGAGAGAGAGAGGAGCAGGTAGGAGGAAACAAGAAAATATTTTAAAAAGCAGTATGAGTTGTTTATATTTCTTCTGCTTTTGTTTGATACTTCAATGAAATTTCCTCTTGGAAGTATAATTCTGGAAAGCAACCGTTATTTCCAGACATTGTGCATCGATGACAGTACATCTTCAAAAATACACACCCTCTACAAATATACATTCTCTACAACAAACAGCTTAGGTAACTCCTGAGTTTAGCAGCTTAGTCCAACTCATATCCTACAGGTTGAATCAAGTTTGTGCTTTCATCTAGCGTGGCTTTCTCTCTAGGAAGAAACAAGGAAACTATATGCTGTTTGTAGATTATTTCAGTGCTGGAAGATCATTTCAGTTCCACTAGAAAATGTGGAAGAACAACATGGCAGAAAATTGCTTGATGATAGACAGTTTGCAGAACAGAAAGTAATAGAGTCTAGAGGCAGGTTCTATAATTTCAAAATAAAATAATGGAGTTTTAGAATACTTTTTTTTAATAGTAAAGTTAGTGAGACAGTGGCATGGGTTGCCCAGAAAGAGGGTGGATACCCTGTCCCTGGGGACAGCCAAGGTCAGGCTGGAGGGGCTCTGATCATCTTGTGGAGCTGTAGGTGTCCCTGTTCACTGCAGGAAGTTGGACCACATGGCCTCTAGAGGTCTATTCCAACTCAAACAATCCTCTGATTCTACGTTCTATAGCTTTTGCAGCTGGGCCAGTGAAAGCCACATAGCATGCATGTACATATATATATTTTTTTTTTTTTTTAAATTTATATATATATATATTTACATATGTATTGAAGTACACATGGTATATACAAATCCAAAAAAGAAAAAAACATAAAATTATCTGGAGGAATAATAAAACTGCCTTCCCATAAACACTTTTGGAAAAAAAAAAAAAAAAAAAAAGATTTCAATTGTGCAGATAAAAAATAGAACCCAGATGAGGATTGTGGATTATCACTATTAACATGACAATCTAAATTAAAATCAATTTCTCAGGTATGTGACGATAAGCAAGAAAAGCTCCAGTCAAATTAAACACTACTCCTCATAGAAGTGAAGAAGTATAACCAAGACAAGAATGCCAGAACTCTACCAAATGTTCAAAAAAAAAATGATTTATTCTTAAATTAAATATGGCAATTTTACTTACGCCATTTGCTCAATTTGCAACACGTAACCATTACGCACTCTTTACTTGTCTGTTTGAAATAAAAGCCAAGTATTGATCTCAGATGCACAAGCCTTACACAGAAACAAGAGCCAAGTGTGTGCATCAGAGGGCAGAACTTGGCTTTAAGTGCTGAGCTATGCTCAGCAGGGTATGGAAGTTAGCAAGATGCAGAAAGCATTCCACAGTTCCCTTTCACAAAACCACTAACCCCATAAATTTTTGATTTGGATTGTGTGCATCCACACAGCAGCAATGCCATACATGCTCTTTTCTTACTGCTTTCAATTTAGGACTGTGTGTTCTTGAAGTGCAAAAACAAGATAAAAAAAAACCTACTGTGCTTCAATTTTGCAAAATATAAATAACACAAAAATAAAAACCTTTCAGCTTATGCAAGCCCATGAAAGAGTTATGTCACTACCACTCAGAACACCTGCAAATGTTGTTCCTTGGTACATGCCTAGTATTTACTAATGCTGCTTGAAGGTAACTTGATTGTTTTGAAGACAGCTATTTCTACAAAACATACACAACTATGCTAAGTCTGGTTATTATTCTACCAAAACAAAATATTAAGTCTCTAGACAACTGGGATGAAAGGAGTAAAGCATTTTCCATGTTTTCCACATATCAAACTCTGAGCATGAAAAACACATTAGCTGATTTATTCACTCCCTGCCTCTTTGTAGAATGAGACTCAGCCTCCTAAATGCCCTCCAAGTTTAGTAAGATATAAACCTGCCAAGAAATTTACATATACCATGCAAGTTTGCTTCAGTAAGACCCCTCCTTCCTTCAGCTTCCTCCTTCCTGCATAGCTGTGCAAGAAGCAGTTCTAAGAATTAGAAAAACATTTACATGCAAAAAAAAAAGAAAGAAAAAAGAAAATCCATAGAAGCCTTAGAAAAAGAAAAATCTAAGTGAGGATCATTTAAGAAACTAATTAGGCTCAGTGTTACAAAAAATTTCAAGAAATGTTTCAAAAATACTATTTTAAAAAGCACAGAAGTACTAGGTGAGGCCTTATCAATGTCCCAAAATTCTCTCTCTAACAATTTGCTTTAAAAACCTCCCAAATTAGTAATCATATGAGGCTTTAGTAATGCGTACTGTATACTGAAATGGCTCAGTAATTTTTGCCTTTTTTGTAAATTCCTTCATCACTAATTTTGCTATTTAAGTTTCCGGCTTAATCTCCACATTCATACCTAAAGCAGTCTTCCCTATAACAGCTAAATACTCAATGCCTTTACTAATTGTGAAAACACAATTTCCAGAGTAACAGAAACTACTATTTCTACTACACAGAAACATGACTTCTTCACTCTGTTGTGATTCCAGAGCAACTGCCGCGTTCTACTCAGCCAGCAAACTTTCAGATGCAATTAATTCCTTGAGCAATTCACAGGCTTTTTTCTCAGGTTCAGCCTTTTAACAGCTCTACTTCTCCAGCTTCATATTCCCCACTGAACAGGATCAGTCAGGAGGTGAAATCCAACCTTTTAACCAGTCTCAAGAGGATTTCCACTGAACTAAAATTTATCTTTGCAGCATGAAATTGTGACTTCACTTAGGTCTTGGGAACGCTCTGTCATGCTGAGTGAACCAGCTAGTATCAGACAGGTTCCAAGCCCAGCTGGCTATGAACAAACACTGTGTGAGAGCAGAACATAACCAACGCACTTAATATCAACAAACGGAAAGTAAATCCTTTAACTGACACACATTAAACTTCTTTTTGACTAGAAGGTTTAAATCTTTTGAGCTGCTGTGATATGTATCCTAACATATCCTAAATGATGCACTAATAATTACTAATACTATTTCACATAACTGAATGAAGGAGGACAATCAAATACGTCTTTTTCAGTCTCTTTACTACCACTTTTAAAATCAGACATCACATCAAACAAGTTTGCAAACACTACAGACTTTGTTGAAACAGCTAAGTATGACTTGACAGTATTAAAGCAGCTGTGACAACCACATTCTATAGTGTATTCCCAGGACTTTTAAAGTTTGAAAGTCACAGTCATCCCTACCCTTCAGATACCCATGCTTCATTCACACTTTACAAAAGGCATGAATAGTCTGCTCCAGTAGCCTTATTTATGGGTTCCTTTTAGCTGAAGTGATCTCATTGGTTTTCCTCAAGAATAAAAAAAAAAAAGCTGTTTTTTTTTTTCCAGACATTGCTGAGGATTTTTTTCCACTTTTATTAATTTATTTATTGCTTGTGCATGTGTGTTGGGTTTTTATTGTTAGTAGCTAGACTAATTTCCTTTCTTAACTGAGTTTTTTTTTTCTCAGCAGCAGCCTGTGGCCACATTTTTAGGACTGATCTTCTGCAGAGAATTGGGAATCTCTGCTCACCCAAACAACTATTAAGCCACCAATATTAAATTACATCTGCTTGTGGTAACTGAGCGGCCTTTCTGGCTGAGGAAACACACTGACTTCTTCTGAAAGGACTTCAGCATTTGGTGGTAGTTTCTGTTTTTTACTTTAGTTGCTTTGGGGTTTTTTGGTTGTCATTTTGGGTTTTTTTGTGGTTTTTTGTTTGTTTGTTTTTTGTTGTTGTTTGCTTTGGTTTGTTTTTTTTTTTTTTTACACTTCAGCCTGAACCACTTCAGTGGTTCTCAGATCAGACATTTGTTTGAAAGTTCTCCATTATAACAACAATTCCTTCTGTGCACTTCTTCAAATCATGTTTGGACTTACTCAATTATTGATCCCCTTTCAGTTCATTCTTCCGGGAGTGTTTGAACTTAAACTACTAAAGTGCAATGAGTTTCTTCTAACTCCTTTTTTGTTCTTACAGACGTTTCCATTTCAGAATGCTGCTGGTGGCCTTCTAACATCTGTTCCATTGATTTCTTGACACTGTGCAAGTCACACAATGAACAGAACAATGGCAAAAATGGCAAAGAAATGACAGAACCTAAGCCTCATTTGCAGTTACAGGGCACATGCCACATGTCATCCAAAGGAACTTCCTTGGCCACTGCTTAGCTGGAAAGTGATGTGGCCCATAGATGACTGGTGAAAAGCAGGTACAGTTACTAGGGGAAGGTAGCAGAGCAGCACCTCAGATTTCAAGGCATGAGCATAATTGGTCTTGCTTGTAAATCTGTAACTCTTGCTGCAAAATCAGAAGACTAAAGTCTCCCAGATCAGAATCTAGGATTAAAATATCTACAGTGGCTTTCCAAAGTTGTATCATGATATGTACCCGCTGTTGTAAAATTAAGAAGCCCTAGGGGCAGCAGCTAAAAGAGATACAGCTCAGATACAGCTTAGTCTCAGGGAAACTCATGTAATATGTGCTTGACATAACTTTCCACACCTCTGTTAGTGTTGCAAATTCTTGAACTGGCTATCGGCTGTGAAGATTCCAAGCTCAAGCAATTAAATAAGATACAACAGAAATCAAGTTATCCATTTCTAAAATAAGTCAGTGTAGTGCTTTTTTGCAAACGAACTTCTTCCCCACATTTTCAAGTTGTGTTTTTCATGAGTTAGGTAGTGTGCTAAGAAAAGACTTTCATAAAGAGTAAAGTCGTTACTTTACTCGTGAGGTCCTCCACCAGTACTGACCCTCTCACATTTCCAGACAACTCTCTGTTCCCTACCATCCTTCTTGCAGAGTTGAAACACTACTCGGTCCAGGAATCTGACAGGTTTTTGGCATTACATAGACTAGTCTGAAATACAGCCAGCTGCACCCACCCAAGCTCTGTCTGTAGCCTACCACAGTGTTCTGTCTATGGTGAGCAGGAACAATACTGGCTTTCTCTTCAGGGAGCTTGCATGCAGCTGCATTGCCATCTAGAGGATTGCTGTCACGCTCCAGTCTATCCTATAGTTAACAAACAACATCTAGAGGATGAGACAAGTAGTCCTGCATTTGAACAGAAGAAAGGTAAAGCTTCATGCTAACAGCAGCACTAACTGTTTTCCAAGATAGTGGCAGAAACAGAAAAAA